TGTGTGCGAGATTATAGCCTGGCCATCTGGTCAAAGCATTTCACGATGGAGAGATAAATTATTTCTGATACTGTACAACTTGTTTGGGGGCCTTCCCAAAGTTCCCAAACTGATTTATGGGAGAGCATGACTCCTGCACAAGTTGACTTTTGCGTCATCCTTTTCGACAAATAGAGAGAGAGAGAAGTGGGGGAGAAAGAGATGGGAGGGAGGAGGCCCGTCCTGAATGTTGTCCAAACTCTGCAGGCTGCCACGATGAAGGGTATATTTTTTATCAAGGTCTGCCAGCTAGGCTACTCTGACAGTTCAATCCTCTGCCAAAATACAAACACGGTGAGAGTGAGAGTGAAAGAGAGGGAGAGTATAAAGAAAGATGGAGAGTGACAAAAAAAAAAGATAGCAGCGGAGAGTCTTGTCATCTGATACTGACACTCAGCGTTTTACACAACTTTTCAGATTCAGTGAACGCACTCCGGGGAGCCGAATGATTCACAGAGCAGATTTCTATATAAACTCTTAAACAGATCACAGAAATTATATAATATTCACATGCAGCCAATTCAGAGTTAAGTCAGTTTTCAAAAGGATGTCTAATTTTACACAGCATGGTCAAGTCACTAACATTGTTGCAGGAAATGAATGCAGCAATGCCCCGTTGTACTACATTGTGTAGTGTGTACAGGTCTATTAGCCAGGACAGGCTTATCTATTGTTATTGATGCTCTTATTTAGTTAGACATAATTGAATTCCAAAATACAATATCACTCATTCATCATGTTGAGGGCTGACATTTCTATCAGGTTATTGATGCACATTCAAGTGAATTTAGTAAAGTGTAAAAGCACATATAGATGTAGAAAATGCGGAGTTGGCTAAATATGATCGTGATTTTTTGTTAAAAGCACAGAGCAGTAAATTGTAGAGGCCGAAACCAAATGTAATCAGCTCCACTGCCTACACGTGTAATCCTTATCCATTTGTGAAATAAACGTTTTGGGCTTAATCATACTAAGTCATGTTTCAAGCACGGCTGACACTCTCTCTGACCATCGCTGAATCACTGATGAACCTCTGCTTTAAATCACTCACACCAAGCGAGAGAGAAGGAGGAAAAACAGGAGTTTGTTATACAAGATCTCAAATTCTCAACAGTGAAATATATGCTGCTACATTTTGTTTTCAACCTCTAACAAATGCCACGTAGTTTTTGTTTCATCTTTGACTCAGAAGCTGTTTCAGCAGGCCCCTTTTTTTCCTTTGCCCTGGTGCAGTGTCGATTAAAGGCCTGTGTCATTTGATATCAAGAGCCTGTTACACCAGCGAATGCCGTATTGGTGATGTCTTTCAGTCTGGCACTGTTCATGATGTCTCTTTTTAAACACCTGAGCAGGAAAAAAAGGGTTAAAGCTTATCTCAAAGATACGAAAAAGAGAGGGAAGGCCCTGCAAGGACAAGCTATCGATCCTATCCTGGGTGTACTGCCAGTGTTTCATACAGAGGTTCATAATTTCCTCTGAATCGTAGATCACCCCCCCCCCACCCCCTTTGTCTTCTGGCCTCTTTCTTTTTCTGTTGCCCTAAAATGTGACCAGCGATGTGAATTATGTAAGCTCAAATGCGTGTCACTCACCTCTGCAGTGTGAATTACAGTGCCCTAGCTTGCTTTGAACTGATTATACACATCTGCTCCTGTGTTGGCAGTACAATGGTGTTAGTTACTTCGGTGGTTTCCAAAATTAGGTGCAGGGACCTTCGGGGTTCTTGAGGATGTTGCAGCAGGTCCCCAGCAGAATGAGGCATCGTTCAAATTCACATTTCTTTCATGAGGATCAAAATTGGCCACCGCACACATAAATTACTTTACTGTGAGTTTATTAGGAGCAAACAACATGCCGCGCCTGTAGCTTCTTCAGGTTTGCTCAGTTATTTCAGTGTGCCGTCGTTAATTTTGATCCTCACCTAAGACGTTTTCTGCAACCTACCAGCACCTGACTGCTACAACTGGCTGTGCATGCAGGGTTTAATTCATATTTGTTTCACTTCAATAGAAAGAGGGTACATCTTGTCTATGGGTTGTGACCACATCAACTGGAGAGTGATTTATTTGTGTTTATTTTATTTGAATCATGTTTAGGAGGCCTAAAGAGGTCCATCCAGTAATTCATGGGTTAAAAAGAATAGATATTTCAGCGATATAGCATTGTACTTCCATAAAGTTGGGGTACTCACAAGAGACAGATTAAAGAGAAAATCACTCTTGACTTAGCTTCCAGCCTCTTTCACCTCTGACCACACCCAGCAGTGATGTCACGGTGTATTGACACATCCTGGAGTACACTTCAACATCACTACAGCAATTACAGCAAGGTGAGAAACTAAACCACTGGAGGTCACCAAAAACAAGAGGTTCACAATCTTCATGAGGTGTTAAATTAGTCTTGAAAAAATCAAAGCAGCCGAGGCCTGTATTGTAGGTCAAACTCCAACACTGCAGGAATGTACATTTCCCATAATGCAATTCAACAATGTTTTTCGTTAGACTCCCTTTGTGCTTTGTTCAAACCCCACACTGCAAGTCAAGAGTTTCTGTGTCTAAACTGTCATTTTACAGTCCGAATACTCCTGGTGAGTGAACTGAACTTCATGTGTAAAAGCAGTGAAGTGTCCCTTTAAAAGAGCACATATAAACAAACATAAACACTGTGTAGCATAAGAAGTTTTCTGCTTTCCTATCCTGTTGGTTATCTTGTGCACCATTGAATTACTACAAAACAGGCAATGTTTTGCAACTTCATGGACTACCAAAGCATGAAAATCTTAACAACAACAACAACAAACAACAAAATCAGATGAAACTCAACAAAATGTGAAGTAGATCAATGTGAGTTAAGTGCGTCCTTGTGAGCGGGAAGGTTAAAAGGCCCTGCTCCACATCAGCATGGATGGATCCATTACTTTACAGTTTGAACATTAAATTCAGATCCACAGATAATCCTGTGTAATAATTCTATAGATCATTAATATTGCATATACTGCAGTTAATATGTAAAAAAAAATATTATAGGGGAATGCCAAACAACAGCATTGTAGCAGATAAATTATACAATAAAGTAGGATATGGTCACCATTCGCTGCATCTACAACTTTAAGACAGTAAAAGAAATATATTTTTTATTGAAGCAGGGACAACTGTGAGTTTACCCTCCATGTAAACAGTGGACTGATTAAGGGCGAGAGTACAGTAATATAGAGTCCCCGTTTCCCCGTTTCCCCGTTTCCCCTGCTGGTCCTTTAAGCTGAAGCAGGGTGCAGACCGGACCTGATGGGGAACAGTTTGGAGCAGGAGTGGAGAGGGGAAGTTGCACCGCCCCGGTTCAGACAGCAGGGCTGAAGCAGATAAAAGCTCAGATAGTGATTGAAAGTGATGGTAAAAGGATTTAGCCTGGGCATTAACTGAGAGAGGGAGGGAGAGAGGAAGAAGAGTGAGAGAGAAGAAAGAGAGAGAGAGAGGGAGGAGGAGAAGGAGGGAGGGTGATATTTTCCATAAAGCCTTTTTTTTTTTTTCCTCTCTTTCTTTTCTGCCCTTGAGCATCCCGGGTAAACCCGAGCTTGTAAAGTAGGAAGAGGAGGAGGAGAGGGGGGAAGAAGGGCGGGCACAAGCCTTTCCTCAAAGTCAATATTTTATACTTTTGATACTCCTTGACGCTGGATTTCAGTCCTCTTTCCCCAGCCGTTTCTAGATCTAGGACACCAATCTACCGTGCGCAGAGATCCACGGTGTGATAAAAAAAATAAAAAAAATAAAAAAAAGTATCCGGCAAAAACAAACAGCGAGCCGGGCAGGCAGATAACGGGAGTACAGTGAGGACCGCGGCGGGGACCGAGTACAGTGGATGGTCGGGGGGATCTTTTTCTTTTTGCCTAAAGAGGGAGACGTGCACGTACTCCGACGCCACACAAAGTGCTGACCTGTCTCACGGATGCATTTTTAGAAGTAAGTATCTGACATAATCTCTCAACGCAATGCATTTTTTTTTTTTTTTTGTGGCTATTTAGCTCTTTGAAGTCTGCACCGAGAAGCTGCTCTGAGTTACCCAGAATATAACCGGACCACTCCAGGATAATCAGACAGGGGCTGTGAGGACTTTCGGCTTAATTTACACCGATTTAGACAAACGAAATCAATGCAATTCATGTGTGAGTATGCAATATCTATAGAGTGTGTGAGTGATGCTCCGCGGTGGGATGCACTACTAACTGACACACCCCTACAAAGACTGTCAGTGCTGGGAAATAGCTTTGGCGACTTCACTTGCCAACTCAAGTCCACAGGGTTGTGTGGGATAGGTTGTACGAGGACCAGGCTTCTGTCAGTGTGGGATGACAGTCGGATTATGATCAGTGAGGGCACACTGCAAAAAATGTCAACCATATTTATTCATGTATTCATGTATTCAGTTATAAAATCAAATTATAGTTAAATTAAGTGAAGAAATCCGGCAACAACTACTCCCAGTGCAGTTTCTATTGCTTAAAGTTTATTATTAAATTAATGACAGCGTGACAGAACGATAAAAAAGGCCCGTAATTCTTAAACTCCCAGAAAATGACACAAGATTCCAGCAGAATCTTAAAAACAAGTTAATTTGTGAGTATAATTATCTCTCCTTTTTGTGCATTATCGCATTTTTCAAGAAGATACAGGCTATTTAAATGTCTCTTTCGCAATGACATTACGCAATGCAATATTTGAAACATCTGTAGCCTACTCTCCATCTCCAGCAGCTATAGGAGCAATTACAACTCTTGCACGCACAGGCTGCACCCGGCAGCAGCACGTGTTTTTACGCACAAGGTTATCCACACAATGCGGCGCCTTTTAGTGCGTTTTTAATGTGCAAACTATTCATATTTAATATGTAGCCGAATTCAACGCAGATTTGAGGCGGGTTCAACTAAACTTGCCCGCCTTATAACCAACTTGCTGTGCCACACATTCACTTAAAAAGTTCTCATAGTCTGAAGACGAATGAGATGTTCTTTTCCCTTTCCAAGCTAAATTACTGCCAATTACTACAGCATAATTAAGGAGTTAATTATGCTACAAAGTAGGAACGCAATCCACCCATCCACATGTATATTTCAAAGACTGATATTAAACTTTTATTCATGCAAAAGAGAAAACACTATGCAGGAATACATTTCATCTCAAGTTGATGTTGTATTTACAGTGAGATTAAGGATGTGATGGATTGATGAGGGTACATTGCTCCTCACACTAACTCCCTTCTCTCCCATTTGTCCTCATTTCGCCCCAGGACAATCAGAGGAGCTCGGCCAGTGCAAAACGTCCAATGGATATACCTGAAGACGCAACAGCTTCTCCATCATCCTCCCCGACCAGCTCCACTGTTTCCCCGCAGGACACCGCTCTCTGAGACATGAATCCGCGTTAATATCTCCCACCCAACTCACAGCAACACTATGGTTAAAGTGTATGCCGAGATTAATCTCTGTCACATTATCCGCCTCTCCACCCACCGCCCATCTTCCTCAGGAAGTCAGCCGTCAAAACACGAAAGCGTCCCTCTCTCGGCTCTCTGGGGGCCGTCAATATTTGTGAAGAGACACTGAGCGAAAGTAGCCGATACAGTGTTCTCCTGTCATTCAGAAGCCTGGAGGCGAGTTGTGTCAATTTACCGGCACCTCTCCATTCACAGTACAGCAGTACGGTGGTAGGGATGTCCACTATTTCCTTATGATCACCGCTCCATGCGCTTCACCTCTCCTCTGAGCTACGTGGCCCCCTCACCCTGCGCCGGACCCCGCTCCAAACACCCCCCAGCCTGCCATGCTCCTCCAGGCCGTGTTTCTGCTGCTGCTGCACTGCTTGGCCTTCACCCTGGGCCAGTACGAACTGTGCAAGTCCTTGGTGAGCACGGATGAGGGCTCGGTGTGGGAGCATTACGCTTGTCAGCCGAAACCCGCGTCCATGAAAGACTACATGCGGATCAAAGTGGATCCGCCCGGAATCACGTGTGGGAACCCACCCGAGAGGTTCTGCACTCTGGTGAGTTAATGTCGGGACTTTTGTATTTGTGTTAACAACTTTAAGATATATAGAGTGATATGGAGTGTACACAGTGAATACATGTGTTCCACAATAGAAATATACTGAAAATACTAAATTCTAAGTGCAGAAAGTTGAAAACATTTTTGCAACAAGATCACAGGGTCATGCAATTAAGCTGAATAGTGACAACAGTGAAAAGTAATGACACACAAAAAAAGGTCTAATTAAAGTCAGAACAGGATTCACACTATAAAAGCTTTGGGGATCTAAAAGGGATGACACAAGTGCAATGACTTGGCTTTGCTCGACCTCCCTCAGAGAGGTCCGGAGGTGTTGTTTACATTAGTATGGACTTGGCAGCCAGGGATCCGGTTTGATTTGGGCTTCCAGAGGACTTCACATTTCCCCTGGTAAAATGCATATAGCGGGACCTTTTTAGTTCCAAGGACACTGAAGGGTGAGCTGGAGGAAAACTCGTTAAAATGTCTGCTACAGCAATATTTAACACACTTTAGCCTGCAGGCTAGTTCCCATCCTGGCTAATGTAAGTGTAATAATTTAAAATAAGGGTTATAAAATCATTGTAATCCTAAGAAGACTACAATTAAGCTTGCCCCTGCCTCTTCAGTGGAAGTTTTATATTTGACTCATAACATTTGACTCCCTGTGTGTGTGAGAGAGAGACAGCAAGTTCGTCCTCTTGATGATTGCCCCACTGCCATTGAGAGTCCACTCATTGAGTTGGCCAGCATTGAAGGTGCCAGACCTGTCTCAACAGCCATGAGTCAAAGTCTCACAAAAAGTGTTTCTAGAGAGAGTGTCTACATCACATTATACAATCATGTCATGCTGTTAATTAGGTGTTTGTGTTCTGTGTGAGTGGAAATGTGTTACCTTAAGACAGATTTTTACAAACCACCCTCCACTCAGGTCTCCCTCTCTTCCTCTCACTGATACTAATAACAGTACTTGGGATCATTTAACAGGAGCAGGAAAGGATATTGTGCTCCTCGGATACCTAATGGTTAATGATTTGTAGAAGTAGCGGAAACCACTGTCGTCTTGAGAAAGCCTCTCCGATGACTTCTATTGAGACGGGAGACGGACAGAGGCAAGGGAAAGGGGGGAGGGAAGTGAAGAGAGATGCTCACTGCCATAACGTATTGACGTCTGCCCCCTAATGGTCCTGGCCTGGAAACTTCTATAACTATGTTTCTGAGTGAGCAATGATGAAATATTGATGGGCTCCTTAATGGGCTTCCTTACAAGGGTTAGCCAGCGTTGCTCCATCCCATGGATCCAGAGTGCGCTGCTAGGCTGATGAGAGAGGGAGAAAGAGAGGGGTAGAGGGCGGGACAGGAAGGAGCCTAGTCTTAGTCAGCACTTTTACATCGGACGGGGTCTTTATAGTGGAAAGTTCTGGTTCTTCTCAGGTCATCTGTGGCTATGAGGATTGTACCATGCCCCCTAGTGCACTAGCTGGGGGATTTAGAGACTGAAGAAGCTGCAAGATGAAAGTTTACTTTAGAAGTGAGGGATGTCAGACTCAAATTCCTACATAATGAGAGAGCAGAGTTGGTTTAATACTGTAACTAGATAAGTATTTGACTAATTTAGGGTCCTTTGTAACAAAAAAAGAGCTTATCCATCATGTAATAATCCATATTTTGCATTTATTTAACTGTAAATCTCATTTGGGGTTAAGAATCACTGAGCATCTACACATGACCTACTCCGAACAGAGTTTTAATCCATCTATACACGCTTCAGCAGGGAATCAAGGCCATTACAATCTTCACCGTCTTTCTTTTGGACCCGCCAACTGAGTATTAGTTGAGGGTTATTGGTATACAGATCATTTATTTTCAGGCAAGCAGCATTTTTTCCCTCTTCCTCTTGCCCCCGGATTTGGCAGCTTTACAGAAAATCCAGTTTCTTATCTAATTGGTGTACATTTACATTCACTCATTCAGCAATCCCGCAAGTCAAGAGAAAGTCAGGGCACTGGGAAAAAAAGAGAGACTGCATCACCCAGTGCGCAGAGCTGCTCATCTTTAATAAGACTTGAGACATACTGCGGAAGATGCAAAATAATTTTTTCCCCCCTTCTCTCTCTCTATGAGTGCTACAGTGTGTTCCTAAAAACTATGGTAGAATTCACTTTTTTTGGGGGGGGGTTGATGTTGAGGCATACTGTAGCTTTTCCTGCTTGCATTGGTTTACAGTAGTTTTTGGTCCCACCGTCTCCACAGGGATGCATTTTTTCCACTCTATTTATCTCTCTTGTTTTCTGGGAATGCAGCATCCTTTCTCCTCAGCCAAACAGGCCAGCATGTTGGCTTCTTTCAACATGACGGGCTTCCAGCACTTTGACAAAGATGCTACTGTCACTAGTGCTGTGTTAGGATCTTCAGTAGTTTCTTTGTAGTTTCTCCGTATGATAGCTAGTATGGAGTCTTAGCTTGCAGTTGAGGATGATGGAGTAAGGAGGTTTGAGGGGGGTGAGGCAGTGTGTTGCAGAGGGGGATAGCTAATGATGAGGGAGAGGTGAGGAAGATCCAAGCTTAGCTAAGCAGAAAGATGAAATCAGACCACAGTTTCATAGTAGTACTCACAGTGTCGATATAAAAATGCTGCATTCAAAAAGGTCTCGCTGTGCTGTTGTTTGTTATTTAGTTTTTTGGTTTTGAACCGAAACCTTCAATCAACCATCTCTCTTGGGGCGGAGAACAGAGAGCAGCCGAATGCAAATGGGATGTGTGCAGAAATGTACAGTACAGAGTGCGGTGACGTTAACGGGGACCAGCAGGGGTGTGTGAAACATGTGCACGAGTTGGCTGACAGCGCATGGTAGTATGTCTAAGAAAGACAAAAAAAAAAAAAAACACACACAAAAAAAACCACACCTTCCTGTTCCACAACACATTTTCCCGTTTTAGAAGGTAGAAATCAGCCAGCTCTAAAAATAGACATGAGAAGAGAGAGAAGCCGCGCAGCAGCGGAAGGGGTGCATGCAGGAAGGGGAGGAAGATGGCAGCTGGTAGCGTGGATCAGTGCTTCCCAGACTGGGCCTATGGCCATACTTCATACCCCCTGCCCAGTGTAGCCCTGCCAGGCCCGGCTGGCCTGCCCTGCCCAGCAGTGGGCCATCAAGGCCATGCAAAAGGGCCACCCACACCCAGCAGTGGGCCATCCCTGATGCACCTCCCTGGGGTAAAAGCTAGCCCAGGTGGCCAGTGTACTAATAATACACCCTTGGAGGTGAATTTGGGCTCAGCATGAGCAGGCTTGACAGTGCGGGGCATAATTAACGAAGGGAACAGAGAGAAAGAAACAGACAGCTAGAGAGAGCGACAGCAAGAGTGACTGTATGAACAAGGGAGGTGGGGGAGGGTGTAGTGATGTAATGGCATGGCTTGCTTCCCCATTAGGACACAGTTGAAAGTGATCAGAGTGTGTTTAGATGTGTTGGCAGAGCGGGGGGATAGTTATAAGTGAGATTTATCTCTCACTGAGGTGATACTAAGAAGGATTGGCCGCAGGGGCTTAGACAGCCCGAGGTGGACTTAGCAAGCCGCCTCGTCTCACCGAACAGGATTTCAGACTGACGGCTGTTTGGAGACGAGACACCATATGTATAAAAACTACAGAGGCTGTGTGAAATTTGTACAACTTGGTTGTTGAGACTTGGTAAATACAGACAAGGACAAGGAGCATGAGCCTCTTCGCTGTCCAACAAAACGTCAGAGACAGAATCCATCTCGAAAATACAGACAGAAAGAAGTCCCCTGGAAATGCCCATGGACTACTTTTTGAGTTGTTTGTAAAATTGTAAAATTTTGGCAAATGCATTATTGAAATGTGGACTGTAACAACAACAATCTTAATCGGGGCAACGACGTACAGTCGTCCAGTGTCCAACAGCCCTGCAAAAACCGACAGAAATTCTGAAATAATGCAAGGATATATTAGGGGATGCTTTGGGTTTAGACTCAAATACATATGTTAGATTTCTGTTGATATGAAACTTTCTGAAAAACACACTCATTTCCCCAATTAACATTGTTCTTCCTAACAATCTGTACAGAGGTGATGGGTGAAATGCTATCATAACTAATGGAGAAAAACAGGATAACACCCAGGCTCACAAATGCTATAATTTCCCTTTAACATCTGTAACACCTCAATTAATTTATTTTGCACATCAAAGTCTGTTTACAGAGTTGTCGGGAGTACTACTGCACTTTTACAAAACTATGATAACAGTCATCCAGAGGGATATGCATAAGGTCTACAAATGGCCTCCAAGGTCGGTTGGGGCGAAGACTCACAAAGTTTGATAACTGAAAGAATCCCAGAGTGTAATCACCAAGAACGACGTTAACCCGCTTGTTCATCTCTGCCTCGCCGGGTCGCGGCCTTAAAGGCTCAACATTCACTAGCATAACACACACCAACTCTTCAAATTCGAATTGATTTGCCATCTGTGGGTAATGCAGGCAACAATCCTGGTTCTGCTGCAGTCGAACTCTTCGATCCTTATCTTTTTTTAACTTCGAAAGGGCTGACTATGTTATAGGAGGCAACATGCCTACTCAGAAATGCAGAAAGTAAAAAATATATAAACGAACGCTCCGTTGGCACAATCCACATTTCAGTTGTCTCAAGTTTCACAATTATTTTCCAGCCTCGTCGGCCCTCTCTTTAGCTACATCTCACCTTTGTGATTAGTTTAGACTTTAATAACGGGCCTCAATAAACTCAGATCAAATCCCAGCTTCTTCCTGAATTCACCTGCATCCAGTGCCACCTCCCAAGAACACACCAGCAACTCATATTCTGTTCTTTCCGTGCACCTGTACTGCTGTGAGACGCACCTGAAGTACTGACATTACTAAAAGATAAGTTTCCCAAACATATACACTCGCCTGGTCGGACTCCGTGGTGCTCCCTGCAGCGCGGCGCGAACACCAGCCTTGCGTGGCTTGCTCTTCGGA